GCGCTTGGTGATGTGAGAGCCTGGTCCGGTGAGAACCCGGCGTGCTCCGTCCCGGCTTTGTAGGGATGCGAGGTCAATGGTCTAACGACTACGGCATGCACGACTATGAGTACCCCCCCCCCCGTCAATATCCCGTTTTCGTCCCCCCGCATACAAAATAAAATGGTGCTGAACCCCCTGTTCCCTCTACTTTTGTTCGGTGTTTTTCCAACTGCCAGCGAAACAGCGGGACACAAGTCAGTTCTCGTCACCTAGCGCACCAATCGTCATGGCACGACTTCGAGCGTGTGCTCCACTGCAATACGTCGGGGTGTGACGGTTGTGTTCGGCATGGGTGCTGTGTGAGGGAAGACCTTCGTGGCGGCGTGGAATCCAAATCAATTTTTCGGCCCGGGCAATCGGGCCGCACCGCCAGGCGAAAAAGTCTAACCGGAATTCACATCGCCACGATGCTCTCGCCATATACAGCACCCATGCCCAACACAACTATCACGCCCAGAGACACCACAATGGAGCACACGCTCGAAGTGGTGCGATGGCGATCGGCGTCCTCGATTCCGAGAACTAATGTGGTGCTGTGATGCTGGCAGTTGAACGCGGCGGTAAAAAAAAGTTATGCGCGACAGCATGACCATGGCCTCATCACACCACAGAGAGTCCGGCGGCATCGAGCCCAGATGCTGTTGCCCGCTGTGCGTGTGTGTCGCCTGTCATGTGTACGCTGTCTGCTGTGTGGTGTCACCCGCAGTGCGTGTGTTCTCTGCTGCAAACCGCTGGGTGCTCCGAAAAAAAAATATCTGCTGACCCCTGGAATCCAAAATCAAGCCATATACCATAAAACCTGGATGAAGCGAACAGGCTGTACAAACTCTATTTTCTGGATGGAACCTATATTGGCTGTCTCCTCGAGCAAGAATAGAGATCTCGCTTCGCTCAAATAATAAACATCAGTTTACGCGCCACACTTTATACATGGTCGAAGAGATGGACAGAAAAAGGACCAGTCGGTCGGCCGTGTCTGTAGAGGTTCCTGTAAAATCACGATCACAATCACAATCACACAGAATTCTCGGCAGGACATGGCACGTTATTCAATGCATGGGGAGAGCTTCGACATGACTGATGGGAAAAGACATATCTACTACGAAGTACTTGCATTGCTCTCAACACATCCGTCCTGCCAAAATCATGCGCCTTGTGGCCAGTTTGCGGCGACATCTCCGACATCTCCGAGATCTCCGGGAATGGTACCAAGACTGGCAAACAAGTTTACACTCAGAGCGCACACCTCTGACGTTAGGGTGTGACAACCACAAAAAGTGTGAATCAGCGACATCCAGCGTAACGCAGCATACTGCCTGCTGCCCAATCATTAAGCAGTCAAAAACCACGCAGATCACAACAAGCTGCGTCGCTTTGTTTCGGCAACAAATACGTGTGTGCTTTTCGAAACAAAGAAAACAAGGAAAAAGGAAGAAAGAGTCGACATAACGTACACAGACTCACGGAAAACGAAAATAGCGCAGACGAGAAGGAAACAGGTGTCCACCGCCTGCTCCATTAGCTCAAACCTCTCCTCCAAATCGAGTTCATCCATTCTCTCGGCCTTGCTGTGCTCCTCAGTACAGAGCAAACGCAGAGTCAAGTGTGTGGGGCACTGCTCAGTCCCAGCTCCGTCGGCGCGGGGGGTGACGCAGAATGTATGATAGATACCCAAAAAAATACGATTCTGTTTCCAGGCAGGACCCTGCCCGCCACTTCAAGTGCTTCGGTCGCGACTTGTTCCTGTGGGCACGATCGGGACGTGCCAGGTATTCTGCTGTAACAGCAAGAGCTGGCTGCTGCTGATGGTGGGCGCTTGGGGAGGCTATTTTGCAGGTAAGGTTTTCCTGCGTGATGTACGCTCTATGCCTTCGACTGAACAAAACACTGATGTGAGAGTTAGGTCGGCGTCGATTGTTTTCGGAGAACTGCTCAAGCGTCTTCTCATGCGTTGTATGCATATGCATAGCTGTACGCGGACGCCACACTGCTGTCTAGGAGTGGACCCATCATGCAGTAGGTTCACAGTGCTGCGACACGCGCGTGTGCACAGTAGCCGTCATATTTCTTGGCTTGGTCTCGATGTGGTATGTGTTTCGGGAAAAAAACAGGCGGTGTATCTACAGCGGCAGTACGGCAGTTTTATGTCCTTCGAGGGCGTAGACGTGTTATGGTTACAAGGTTACAACACACGAGTCGAAGACGTGTGCATACGATGCCGAGAAGGGCAACAGGCAACAGCAGTGTAGTATTGGTCCTTGATGTGATGTTTCCAGCATTGGCACGTTGACACATTGACACATCATCCGCAGTGTGGAACTTCGTACACAGTCCGGTGAACACTGCACAGTACATCCGTAGAGATCTTGAATCCTTGGCACATTATAAATAGTCCCTACACTAATAAAACTTTACCGTATGCTCATTTCGTTGTACATTACACCTTCGAACTACAGCGGTACATGTATGCATATGGCGGTACACCAGTAGACTGCTGCTGCTGCTGCTGCTGCTGCATGCGGCTGTAATCGAGCAACCTCTCAGCCAAGCGGAAAGCAGTGCACACAAGCACTTCAACGTTTTCATATATCCCACTAAATCCAAGAGATGTGACAGTAGATCTTACTTGGCCCTGCTCCAAGGGACTCATTCAATGTCTTGTTCTTAACACGGGGCGACAATAACCTAACCTCCACTAGTACAGCAGTACTTGCACGGCATGAACAAAAACCCTTTGGTGTGTGGTTGTCACCCTGCGAGACCAAGACATGCCGTTTTTATGTCTTTCACCTCGTGGCTCTCAAACGAACGGACATTTGCAGGTGGTCCCTCCTTGGACAGGCAGCATCAGTCAAACGGACATCAGTCAAACGGACCCAAGGCTTAAATACGAGCAACAACAAGGAGAGCTCTGTACGTAGACGAGCCATGCCGGGGGCGACGGCCGCAGGTTCTCCGTCCAAGTACATCACTGCAGCCCTGGCTGACCTTTTCTCGTGCATCGGGGGCGGAGACATCGTGAGCGCCAAGGCCTTGCTGGAGGGGAAGCACAAGAACGACAAGGAGGTCTTACTCTCCGCTACCAATCCCGCCGGCATCACGCTGCTGCAGCATGCGTGCCATTCCGGACAAGCTGGTGGGGTGAATATGCTCCTCGAGAAGGTAGGTACAGCACAATTGACGGACGCCTGTTTTTGTCTTGCCTCCGGCTGTCGCGCTCGCGGTGTGTCGGTGATGATGCTCCCTCATGACTGTTGACCGCGCTAGACACTAGACAGATTGCTCGCCAATGACGAAACGCCGGTTTGTGCCGTACATTAGTGGGATAAATATCACGGAACGCCTTCTCTCCCTAACCCTAACCCCTTCTCGCCCGCGGTGCCGCCTCGTTCCTCCGCCCGAAAGGGGCTTCGAAGCGGAAGTCTTACGGCAGTTTCCAGTTTACGTATTCAGCGAAAACTTGCAGTAGCGTGTATGTTTGTGTGCGTGCGCATTCTCCATTATTCCAGACGTGTGATCGAACTTCTTCACGCCTTTCGGTAAGTTGATTAAGAGAAGTTACATGGGCAAGATGTGTGCACAAAGGGGAGACGTGTTTTTTTTTCTCCTACTCCTTGTGTGGGTATCTACCTTGCTATCCTGAACTGCATGGCTAGATGGGTGTGTTTTGAACGGATTATGAGTGTAGCACGCGTGTAGACGCTTATGACCTCGATAGCGGTTGGTGTTGATGCGACCCCGCTGTCGCACACGGCATGGCATGATAGTTGTAGTCAACGGCAGTTTTGGATCAGTTAAAGTTCAAAGCGCGCGGGTGACGGGCATGACGATCTCTCGTGCAAGGTTTTTCTCTGTATTTCCATCTGATTGCGGTTTTTCGGTTTGTCCTACGGGCAAGGGATGCATATCCAACGCAACATCTACACAATACGGTTGTCATGTGGCATATTCCGTCGGAGGTGTACATATGATGAATAGTGGCTCGCCTGCCGAACACTCTTTGCACCTGCTTTGCTTGAAGAAACCGATGCCCTTCGGCGTATGCACGGACAACGAACTTTCAGGGAGCCGACCCGAACTGGACTTCGACTAAGGGGTCGACTCCTCTCCACTTCGCCTGCAACAATGGACACTTTGATTGCGCCGAGGCGTTGCTGAGGGCGGGGGTGGATGTGGATGCAGGGTGAGCAAGGAGTGGGCCGGGGGAGTTTTAGGTGAAAAGGGGGGGGGGATCGTTTATCTCGTTTCATGTAGTGGTGGTGCCGCCCTCCTTTTGTACTACTCTATACTATACTGTACTGTACTCTATACTATACTATACTATACTATGCAGTAGTGGAAAGGCATGGTGACCGGCGCATGTGTTTTTTTTTATCGCCATGTGAGTTTGAACCGTGCGTTCGATGTTGTGTGTTGATTCCTGCTTGTGTGCCGCGGCTGGCGTGTACCATGCTACTTCATGTTTTTTCCCTCCCTCCGGACGCGACTGACTCTGTCCACAGCAGCGCTACTTTCGTTACTATTGATGCTGTTAGCTCGCACGGAAGTGTGCCTTAAAATCAACCACATCCAGTTCGCAATACCCTCTCTGTGTTGATGCTGCACACCGTCTAGCTGACAAACGCACCCCAATATCCGTTGGACCCCTCCTCGAATCCCAAAGCTCACTGATGTGGAATCCTCACAATGTTCGGTTGCGTAAGTAATACCAACGCGTAGAACGTCTCATTTTCTCTACGGCTACGCCATGCCTACATCCAGGAACGCTAACGGGACCACTCCACTCATCATCGCGGCCTTCGGGGCGCACGCCAGCTGTGTCAGGCTCCTCCTAGAGTGAGTCAGTTTATCTTGAACAACTTGAACAACGCTATGTATTGGGTTAGTTGGGGTAGGGCGCATACCAGCTGTGTCAGGCTCGTTCTATTGATAAAGTGAGGTAAGGTAGGTCGTTAAACTTTAACTTTTACGGCGCTAGTACTGGGGCAAGGCTATTATTTTGTATTGTGATCGCGCGGTTGGCATTAGAACAGTACCCTGACTACGCTGCGGTAGCCTACCGCAGACCCCAATCAAACAACGCCGCCAGATTGGAGCTTTGTGACGGCATCCGAGTCCCCCCTATCTTTTGTGCTTGTCGCGCTCCTGTTTTGGATGTGTCCATGCAACGGGCGGGCAGACCACCCTTCTTGATTCAACACGCCATATATGTGGGCGTTTAGCTCAGTTGTGAGCGTGCAAACGTGCTGCAGGGATTGTAGGTGTATCTCCTCGGGCTTGTGTACCCTTTTTTTGCTAATAGTGTGTGTGTTCTTTAGATCTTCTGATGGCTCTAGCATTTTTGTGGCCACGGACCGAGTCTTTCCTAGAGTTCGGGATTAGCAACTGACACGAGTTTGATGTGAACAACAACAACAACTACAACTACAACTACTACAACAACAATATGGCGGTTCGATTCGATTCGATTCGATTCGATTCGATTCGTTCGGCTGCAGGCACGATGCGGACCCGAACGTGCGCGACAAGCTGGGGCGAAGAGCAGGCGACAGCCTATGTGGGACTATCAACGCTGTCAGCGGGAGGGTTGGGGTTGGGGTCGGGGGAAGAAGCGGTAGTTCGGCGGGAGGAGGTGGGGCTGCTACTTTGAGTAGCGGTGGCGCTACGCAGGGGAGTAAGACGGAAAACGAGCCCTTCTCGGAGACACGGTCGCTGTTAGCCGTGGCGAGGGCGCAGCGGTCGACGAGGAGAGGCCGGAGCGATTGGACCGCCTCGTCATCAACGACGTCCACCGCTTGTGTTGACATCAAGCGGCGTGATGCAGCTCGTGGCAGTGCTGTCGGCGGCAACGCTATATGTACTCATGGAGGCACGGCGGGGGGGCTGTGTGCTAGCGCTGGTGCCGGGAGCGCGAGACATGTCGATCCAGGACCAGGTAGATGGCCCTCGATCCGCTAACTGTATCTCATCGCTTTTCCTTGATCGATCGTCTTAGTCTTAACATCGTCAGTTGTGGGAGCAGTATGCGTATGTGGTTCATACACGGGCACTCCCTGCGATTTCCGTAATTGTGCGGGGCGGAGCACCGGGGTGCGATGGTGTTTGTATCTTGGTTTATTGTCGCGCCCGGTGCCTTAGAATAAGGCGTGCGGAACCACCGTGCAGGTGCCCTAGCCTGAACAGTTAAGGTATGCTCTTCGCATGGAACGGCTGTGAAAAGAAACGCAACAGCAGGCAGGACGGGAGGTTCATTTTGATAACAACTTGTTTGTGTAGGTCTAATGGGCGCTGGCGGGCTTGGTGCGTGTATGTACGTGATGCCTTTCTGAACATCGCGACCCAAACATGCCCTCGTGTCTGAAGCGATGCCGGAAACCGCGCCTGTCCTCAGCTCTTCCGTTATTTCGGAAATGTATCCAATACCAAACCTCCAGATGGCTCGGAGAGGTCACCGACGCTCGCGACGGCGGCCGAGGGAGCGGGTAAGGATGCGCGCTTGCCGTCAGCAAAGCTACCGCCTCCGTCAGGCCTCGTCGCCGGCAAACCGTCCGGGGATATCGTTGGACACAGCAGGTGCTTCAGCAGCACGGGCACCTCCACCAGCGTCAGCGGCGATGGCAACGGCCACGGTAGCTCCGGCAGCGGCAGTGCTTGCAATGGAGCGGCCCAACGGACGATACCTTTGTCGCCAGCGAACACAACAGCGAAGGATTCAGTGCCGTCAGTGTTGGCCGCAGCAGCAGCGGCAGCGTCGAGACCTACGCCGACGGTAGCGGGTGCTGCCTCCTTTTCGGGCGAAGCTACTCCTCCCACGCTAGCGAATTCCCCAAGGACGACTCCGATGCCGTCGCCAGCGCCGTCTCCGCTACGCGCGTCAAAACTATCGTCGTCGTCGTCGGTGTTGTCGCCTCAGCTGCAGCAGTCCCAGCTGCCATTACGCGGGTCATCAACGCCGACGATCCCGTCACCTTTGGCAGCGTCAGCAGCGACAGATCCCGAGGTACACGTTACACTGCAACTTCCAGCAAGCTCGCCAACCATTGGTCCACCCCCGTACATCACGTGCCTCGTTGATGATGGATGGTCGAATCGGACCATGTTCACAAAAAGTGTTGTTCAAAACTGCTTACGGCAACTCAGCATCCCTCGTTTTCGCCCCAAGTCTTTGGCGTCGCATCGAACCTGGCTGCTGTGTTGAGAGGGAAATTGCACCATGTACAGTAGAATATATGCCTTATGGTAGCTTTTAAACACCACCTTGTCTTGCCTTCGAGATCAGGCCTCCATCTAGACCCGCAGGCAGCTCTTCCGACTTCTGATCACAATGTGTTCTGTTCTCCCACGACCCCGCGTGCCGCCTCTCCGCTTAACCGTTCCCTTCGGCTTTCGATTCTCTTGCGGCTATGTTGTTGTTGCACACACCGCTCAGCTGGATCACCCTGGCCTGCAGAGCAAGCGGTCTGCGGACCTGAAGGCGGCGCTGGCGGCTAACGCGGCCATGATCCGGTCCATGCAGGAGGAGGAGAGGGCGTTCTCGGTCCAAAGCGACCTCCTCGAGAGGAGGAGGGGGGAGGCGGGGGCGAGGAGGAAAGGGGCGGAGGAACACGTAAGTCGATATTTTAGAAAGTACACATATCATACAATCAACTGAAGACTACCTTTTGGAGACAATACTACTGTCGAAGGGTGTGTGTTGAAGTTTTTACGGTGAGTCTGAGGAAAAACGACTGGGTGCTGGACTTGTGTTTTGACTAGGTATGTCTATGCACTGTTTTTTTTTGTTTTGCGTCGACCGCGCTAGCCGGCCGACCAACAAGCAAAATGACACCAGTCTCAGTGCGGTCGAAAACCGAAAAAGCTTCTAAAGGCCGTGATCTGGGAACTTGTGTCGTGTGGTTGTGTGCGGTGTCGTGGGTTATCTGCAAAACCTGTCGTTCTCTCTCGCTTTGCGATAGATTCTCTTGTGGAAAGGAAGATGTCTCCACTCTATCGCAAGTACGATTGTTTGTCCGGTACCTGTGTAAGGGAGCCTCGCCCGCTGGCACCACAGCGTATGTATCGAGTCTAGTCTAGAGGTTTTCTACCACATCCTTCAGAACGTTTCCGTCTAACGGCATACCACCGCGAGATATATTTCTCCCCATGCAATATCCTTGCAAGATTTTCACTGACCACGGGCTACAGGTTTCAGTATACGAGTGATCGTGGTCTATCATCCCGACCGAGGATTTTCGGGGCAACTTCTACGGGGACATTTTCTCCGAATGAGGCGACTTCTGAATGGATAAAAAGCCGGAACGGGCATGCCAGTTCCGCACCAACCATACCTGCTTGTGCTTCTTGTGCTTCTTGTGCTGCTTGTGCTGCTTGTGGTTCTGACCGACGGTGACATTGATGCCGAACCTCGCTTCTGTTCCCGCAGGCGGCCCTCTTGCGAGCGCAAGCTGGAGAACTCGCCCGGAAGGATGCTCCGGGCACTCCCATCACACCGGTCACGGTAGGAGGAGGACCCAACACTCCTGCTTCAGTGCGAGGCGATGCCGGTAGCGGACGGTCCCCGGAGCCGCCGCCGGCCCTCATGCCACTATCTCCGATCTCTGTCGGCAACAACAACGCGTCATCCGTCTTCGACACGCCTACAAGGGGCGCCGCAGCTGGTGAGGGTGAGGGTGGGGGAGGTCCATCACCGTTCTCGGCCTTGTCGCCCTCGACGGTTTCGCCTGCTGCATCGCCTGCTACGGCCGCGATGGCCGTAGCAGACGGGAGCAGTGCCCCGGCCACTCCGACACGCAGGGGAAGTAGGACCATGCCCCCGGTTCCCGCATTCACGGAGTCCCCGACGGAGGAGCCGCAGCGGGGACATGCTGCTGCTGCCCCTGCTGCTGCTGCCCCTGCTGCTGCAGCTGTTCAGGCGGAAGCGGCCGATTACGGCGGGTCCCCCTCGGTTATGGAGGACGAGGAAGAGGAGGGGGAACAAGGGGGGGCAAGCGAAGGAGAACGTTGGCATCCCCATGGCCAACAAGCCCGGCGACAGCAGCAGCAGCAGCAGCACCAGCACCAGCACCAGCAGCAGCAGCGGCAGTACTTTTTCTCTCCCGACAGAGGCGCGGAAGGCTCTTCCAGAAGCCCGTTCAGGAGCAGCAGCGCCCAGCGCCGCCAGCTCGAGCTCCGGCTACAGTCCCCGCTGCGTACCGCGGTACGGTCTGGCGGCGGCGGCGGCGGCGGCGGCGGTGGCGATGTCGACTTGGGAGGGGACATCCGTGACACCAGCGGTCTCTGCCGAACCCCTCAATCGAACCCCAGTCTCTCCGCCGCCACAAGCAAGCAGCACCAGCAGCAGCACCACCGACAACACCATCATCACCATCGCCATCAGCATCAGCATCAGCGACACGCGGAGCCCGAGGATACCCACGCTGGGATGGTGGAAGTGGGCGGGGATGGCGGCGGCGGCGGCGGCGGCGGCGGTGGGGTGCCGGGGTTCTCGGAGGCTGGCGGAGGTGTTCCAATGGAAGGCCGAGAGCATGGGTCAGGCAGCGACGCTAGCACGAGCACGGCGGAGGTGCTGGAGGCGCAGGTGGGTGAAGAGAGATCGCTTAGCATGGTGCTTTGCGCCATGAGGCTAATTTTAGGGTACAACGGATACGGGCCGGTGTTTCCACCGAGAGGGTTAAGAGTGGGGTGCAGTTTTTTTGTGGCGACGTTTTTGTTTCAGAGGACGGACGGTGTCGGTGTCGGTGTTGGTTGTGATGGGTCTCGAGGCAAGGGAACATTTCCGAGCAACCATGTTGAAGTGGTTTCCGGCCGTGAATGGTCAGAGACACGGGCGTGAGCAGCTTTGACACCCGTGGATGCGCTCGGCCAACGCGAGCTGACCCTAACCCGCGTCGCTGGGGATGATATGCCGTGCATGTCACGATGCTGTTGATTTTGGGGTTGGTTTAAACGATCGCCTGTGCAGCATTGCATATCGCATAGCACATAGCATTGGCGTCTTCTCTTGCGAACAGTAGTGCCGCTGTCCGGAGAACGCGCGCGTTTTGCCTCCCTTGCCCCCCCCCCGGAAACGGAGGGTCTACAGGGGTTCAAGGAGAAGATATCTGTTGCTTGTGCCGAGAGAGAAGCACGAAATCTAAGGAAAGAATCCAAGGATAAGGAGGGTCTAGAAGTGTACGGAATGTTGAAGGAAGTAATAGGGTTCACGGATTACCTTCATGGACCAATGGATGCAGGAACAAAACTTATGGTCAAATTCAGGACCGGGGACATAAGACCTTCGAGAACGTCGACGAAGACATAGGACGGTAGACGAGGAAGACGACGAGTTCAAATGTGATTGCGGCTTCGAATGCGAAGACCGTGTTCATGTAGTCGCGGAATGTCCGTTGTACAAGAAGGAGAGGGAAGTGTACGTGACTGAGCTGGGAAAAATAGATGGAACGTACAGGGAGATGTTTGAGGCATGGAATAGAGAGGAAAGGACGATAGCTGCACTGGGGCATAGGAGGTCGGTTGGAAAGGCGGGAAGGGATATCGTTGGGATAATCAGACTAGGGAAGACATTTGTGAGCCACCTTTGGCAAAGTAGAAAGGAGTGAATGGCCATCGGTGATCGGTCCTGTGGGAACAATGCTCCGTCCTCTCGAGGACGCGTGGTCGATGGTCTGACCGCTAAGGCATGAAAAACATAAGAGTACCCCTCCCCCCCGGTCTCCATTTGCTGTGTTTCCAACCCTTCCATGCATCATGTGCTGTTTTTTTTTCTTTCATGCTGTTGCTCCTCTGTGATTGGCTTGTTTTTTTTGACAGTCTCGTCGTGTCCAGGAGCTAGAGGCAGAGCTGAGGGCCACCCGGAGGGACAACCGTTCCAGGTGGGTACGGGTATGGTGAGGCCGGGGACACGAGACATCTCGTCCCCTGGGAGCGGGTACGCCTACATATCACCAAACCGACGCAAAGGCTCTTGTCTTGGTTGACATGGGGAGGGGAGGGGAGGGGAGGGAGATAATGCTGTTGGACGCGCTGGGAGGTTCAGCGAATCCAAGTTTGTGGAAGAGTCAAATTTTCAGTCTTGATTTTACATCTAGTATTTTTGACACCAAACATTGGATAAGTAAACGAAGATTGAGATTTGGACTCTTCCATTGACTTGGGTTCCCTGTACAATACGCCGACCAAGCGTGTCCAGCAGCATCGCCTCTCGCCGCTTCCCGTCGCAACGAATAGTCTAAGAGTCGCCACGTCGGGTTGACGATGCGTACATACTTGGAAGTACATGTTACTCGCAGGCGTGACGGTGAAACAAAGATTAAGACTTTCACTCTTCGACTAACTTGGATTCCATACACCTCCCACCGTGTCCCACAGCATGCCTCAGCTGTTGCAATCTGTTGTAGTACGTAGCTGGGCTTTTCTCCTGCAAGGCTGCCACCCAAGGCAATATACAGCTCCGTTCCGGCGATGCTCGACACCCTGTTACACCCCACGTATACGTGAAAAGGCCGGCGAACAGACTGCTTTGGAAGAGGACGGGGACGGGCAGGGCTAGGAAGGCAATCGCCTCTGAAAGCCATACAAGCACCAGACACGCTCTCGTTCTCAAAACGTCACGGAATGATCAGACACGGCGACAACGTCCCAACCGCTCACTCCAAGCTTGATTTACTTGCTTCCCGCTGTGCCCGACACAACGCTGCCGCGGTGTGTATGAATGCTTACCGTGCGAAGGGACGGTCGTAGCCAGAGGACCCGCACCAACGCCAACAAGCGACAGAGGGCAGGGACGACGTCGCTCTTTCCGCAACGCCTGCAGCACACGGATGCTGCTACCGACGGCACCCGTGGCAACCACCATGAGCACCAGGAAGGACGAAACCAGGTCCGAACGAACCGCGAAAGCAAGGAATCCGTCTCTGTGACCCTGATCCTAAGCCTGCAGTGTTACTGCTGCAGGGGCGTAGTATGATTTACTCAACAACATTAGCAGTGGCTCTTGTCATTGCTGTGCTGTTAATCGCCGAGCTTGCTCTCCGGGGTTGGCACGACGACTCCCTTTGACGTACTCGTCGCTCTTCATTTTCTCGAGGCTCGCTAGTACATCGGATCTCTTTGTCTAGCCTTCGCCCCAGGACACGACGATTGACGATTGTCGCTAGTCGTATCATACCTTGCGCGGGAGCAACATGATGTCAAATTTCACACGTTCCGTGGTGATCTAAAATTCATCGCCCCTACCCTGGCCGCCCCCCCCGGTGTTTGCCATCGGGGTTGGGTTTTAGTCGCTTGGCAACGACGTTGTAAAACAAGCCATGTCACCTTGTGAGCTCGGCAACCAGGTTACCGTTTTTTTTCACCTCTGTTCTTTTTTTTGTGGTTGTCGAGTAGATCATGTTGTGCGGGGTCGAGAACCCTCACTCCGCGCAAGGGGGATGATCGCACCACGTTGTGTTAAAATGGTCATGCACCCTCGAGGCAGTTACACAGTGCTTACAACTGCCTCTGGAAGTAGACGCACTAGAAAATATATTAAGTCATACGCAGCTGTCATCCGTACGCAAGGAAGTAAGCACAAGATGCCGAAAACCCTTAGCAGGATGCAGCGCACCCTTCATGCGACTCGCCGAATATCTCACGGCGCTTCGCGCTTGGTGATGTGAGAGCCTGGCCCGGTGAGAAACCGGCGTGCGTCCCGGCTTTGTAGGGATACGAGGTCAATGGTCTAACGACTACGGCATGCATGACTATGAGTACACCCCCTCCGACCCTGGCCTAACTGGGCGTCTGCTTCCCCGCTTGCCGTCTTCCCTTTGTGGTTACCGTTGCTGTTGCCCCTCCTTGCCCCTCCTTCAGTGCTTCTCGCCGAGAGGGGCGATAAGGATAACTAACGTGGCGACATCGTCTCCCTCCTCGTCGTCGTCGCTCTCCGATCCCATGAGCCCTGGCCTGAGGAGCGAGGTTCGGAGGCTCAGAGCGGAGGCTGCCGCTAGGGGAAGAGAACACGCTTCTTTGGCCGCTCAGCACGCTTCCCTCGTGCTTGAGAAGGCCAGACAGGTGACAGCCGAGGCGTGATTGATGCTTGTGTGATGTGCAACTGTTCGTACACTCGTCAGTTCTCTGGGGCGGTCTGGCGCGTTTATCGACTTTTGTGTTGGGAGTTTTTTTTATCGAGGGCGCTTTTTGTGCTGCTTGAAACGGTTGGACTTGATTGGTGGTCCTTCGGTAACCTTTTTTTTATACCGTTGCGGCCGCTTCGGTTCCTAACCGTAAGTGTTTGTATAGCTGTGTTGTTCACAATCCGCGCACCATCAAACCTAAGGCTCGTTTTTGTCCGTCCGTAGAGAGAAGTGCCTTGCCCACCGGCCGGCGCTACAAGTAGTGAGAGCGTCAAAACTTGAGACCCCGGATTTGGCGCTCACGTTGCGGTAGTGCAGCGTGACAGTTACGGAACGGTTAGGTGAGAGTTTGACTTTTACCGTGGTATGGACTGCGAAGCTTACCTTTGTCTTGTTGTCTCCATGGGTGGTTTTGAATTCCACCCAAGACTTCAACGCCCGCAAGACCATTCCGAGTATGATAGCGTATCATGAGTCAGACAGAAGACTGTCACGTGACCAACCCCGACAAACTATGGCATTCTGTTGTATTGTAGGAGTAACGACTTTTCACAACCTTGCTTCGCCCTTGGTCCATGTGTACTGTATGGTCTTGCGACGGAGCCAGGCTGGCGTCCTTCGGAACCGCGTGGCTAGCGCAGATGGGGAGGTGGAACGGCTGTCGAGAGAGCTTCGAGAGGCACAGGAGAAGCTCGAGGTGTGCTTATGTGCTGTGCAGCGTGCTTGGGGCTATGGTTGAGACACCACTGCGGACCACTACGCTTAAGGCTTGTGCTCTCGATGGGCGGGTTGAGACTCACGGCATGTGATAACTCTTGAGCGGGTATACGTCGTTCGAGTTTTTTTTTCCGGTGTGCACAGCTATGGTGTCCTCCTTTAGAGTAGTCGATCAATCTTGGATTGCGATTGATCCATCGACTCCGGCCGGTCGCATTGTATCGCTAGAACCAGTTTTTTTTTTTTTTACCGTTAGTAGGCGAACCAAGATAAATATGCTGTGTTTCGGTTCGTTTTTTCGGTACCGTACATGCTTCGCTCCCATCGCCCTTCTTTCTGCAAGTTTTGCTACCAAAAATGCTTGCGACAGCTGCTTTATGTCGTTGCATGTCACCAAGTGTGAAGTGTGATAGAGACCAAGCCAAGACGAAGATTGACATGTCATGCTGTCGGCATGGCTCTCCACTTTTGCCGCAACGAATCCGATGTGCTGCTGCTGGGGTACCGGCGTGGTGTTGCCTCCATGCTATGTTGGCACAATTTTGCTCGCGTGTGCTGCCTGGGGTTTGGCGATGCTCTGTATTTTGGCTACTCGGGGTGCCGCTACGTTATGTCGAATGGGCTACCGAAGGCTCAAGCAAGGGAGGCTGAGGCTTTGCGGCGCCAGGCAGAAGGGCAGGAGGGTCTCCTGCAAAGTCGATCTCATGTGAGCATGGGTTGAGAAAACTAAAGTAGATGCCTAGAGCTTCGTTTGCGTCCTCTGGTGTACTGAGAAGATGGCATGGCTTGTATTGTGTTCAAGAGACGTGACGTTTGAGAAACATGCTCGTAGATTGTGACTCTGCGTCTAGACTTGGTACATGCTGCTACTGCTGTTACCCCCGCACTGCTGCTCTTCCTACACCTTTGTGCTGCTCCTTGCTAGTGCTGGCGCGCCAGCGGCAAAGGTGCACTTTTATCTGACCTGGGACTAACATACTCTGCTAAGGTTGAATGCTGCGATTGCGGCTGCGTTGATACACCCGATGCTGTTGCGGTAGTATATATCACTGCCGTCTGGCAGGAAGGCCGGGTTTCACGAGACCAGCGTGTCATACCTTCATTCATCATTCCTCCCGTAGGCTTCTTGGATACAATCGTTTTCCTCAACTTGCGCCATTACACATTTCTCGTGTCAGGAATCCTGCGTGAAATGGGCTAGCGATATATATGTTTCCCACAACCGGCGGATGGAAGGGAGCTATAATAGTTGCTCCCGAGGCGTTGCCCGAGCTTTCCCCGCTCTCTTCCCTAAGCCGCGACCCTTTTTCCCCGGTGTCGCCGCAGGTTCTCGAGCAAGCCTTGGGCAGTCTCGAGAACATCGGCGTTGCTCTCGCCGAGGAGCGCAGCCTTAACTCACTTAACTCAGCCAGATCTCGCGACAACGGCCAAGGCAACGGCGACGATGCGACTACGGCCGCCGGCGCAGCAAATGGTGCACCGGTCGATGCTGCCGTCAGCAGCAGCAGCAGCAACACCGGTGGTAGTGGCAGCGGTGGCAGTGCGGAGCATGAGGGAATGGCGTCCTCCGTCGAGCAGGACGAAGAAGCGCCGAGTATGTCGGTAGACGAGCATGATGACACCGACGGCGGCAATGCCAACAACGGCGACAACAGCGGTGGGAACGACAACTCAAACAGCAACGACGGCATCGCCGGAAGCGGTAGCGATGCCGCCAGTCTCGAAGGCGCCAGCGGCGACGCCCCAAATGCCGTCGGCGGGGGGAGCGATGCCGATGGTCCGGCTAACGCTAACGGCGACCGAGAGGAGGAGCGTTACCAGGAAGACGGAGGGGCAGGGAGCGTGTCGATGCGGGACGTTGGGGTGGAAGAGAACGAGGCGGCAGCCGGTGCTGCTGCGGGTGCCCCTGTTGCGTCAGTGACGGCGGCGGGGGCGGGTGAACGGCTGGAGGGCCGGCCGCAAGGTGGTCTTGAGATGGCCAGGATTTTCAGGTGAGGGGACGGGTTGTGGACGGTGCCACCGAGATCGTTTGGCCTATTGATCGATTTCTGCTGCAGGGTAAGCTTGAAATAGCATGAAGAGGTTGTCAGGGTTGCTGCCGCACGTGGTCCGTTGTCTAGTCACATCCCCCATCGTATCGTGTATGCACGGTAGCGGCTGCGGTTTGAGAGCAGTACGAGAGTAGAAACGTTTTGTCCCGAGCATGATACTTACATCTTGCAAGTGGTATAGCTTTAGGGAAATTCGGTTCAAGAAGGGGCTTCTTTCGTGTTGTCTCAACCCTTTACCCTCTATTCAACTGTGGGTAACCGCTACTGAAATGGACATTGGATGCTCATAATCCCGTCGATGGTTGATTCTCCCCAACCAATTGCGAGTCCATCTACACCAAGCAAACAACCCGCGGAACCAATTCTTCCTGCTTGAAATGCCGCCTGTTGTTTCGTTTGGCAGCCACCAGCAGATCGACGCCGCGTGTGCTGGGTTCCCAGACAGCGCCATCGTGGGCAGGGGGGGCTTCGGGCCTGTGTTTCGGGGCCGTTTCATGGGGGAGGATGTGGCCGTCAAGAGGCTAGACGGTTACGGTCTGCAGGGCCTCCCGAATTTCCTCAAGGAAGTCCAGGTACGTACTGCTGTCTTGGACGGGTAACTTTTTGGGTGGCGGCCTTGAGGTGGTTGATTCATGCTCATCTGAGTGCGAAAAACAAGAGGGTTTTTGGTGGTTTCGTCGTGGATCGCAGGGGTTCACCCTAGACCTGAGCAGAGGCTCAGCCACACAGCGATATCGTGGGACAGCTGGTCGCGACTACTGTACCTCTCGTCACAACAGTCGTGGCTCGCTAAGGGCACCGCATGACACGCAACGTCGCAGAAGCTGAAGCAAGTTGTGCCCATTGCGTGTTCAATGTCTATCTTCCACCTGACGGGGTGCATATGCCAAGTCTCTACAGTTGTCGTCCAGACAACGGATACCGCTTAATGCCTCCCGTGGACAATTGTCCGCTCTCGTGCAATGGTTATCTACCTGACTGCTGTCCGTGTATCGCGTCGCCTCTCGGTTGTGTTGTTTTCTATGTTGCATCGTAACAGGTGCTGACCACCTGCCGGCACGAGCACCTGGTGCCCCTTCTCGGCATCTGCGTGGACCCCACCCCGATGCTGGTCTATCCGTTCGTCGGCCAAAGCCTAGCGTGGCACCTCAGGGAGCCACAAAGACGGGCTGCCATCGGATGGCGCACGCGCTTGTCCGTGGCGTTGTCCGTCAGCAAAGGGCTCCAGGTGAGGCGACATAGTTTGTTCTCCGCAGGCGTTCGTGAGGAGGTTTTCGCAGTGCGGGTTTTTTAGGTCTAGGCTGAGCTTAGCCGGCTTTCCTCTGTCATGGAGTCACATATGCATAGAGATCTGAGCTCGGTTCCTCTGTCCTTGGGTCACGCCGAGAGACGAGAGCGTACCTCGGTGAGGTGAGACGCTGACACGGCTACTAGCATGCAAAGCTGTAGAGGACTGACTTGGCGAGGCACTCCGAACTCACGACGACTTGCTCCAGGTACCCTGTCAAGACATGACATTTTCTACAGTTCAAGATATGCCGTTTCCCACAGCCCCCGCGATAGCGATGTATTGCTCCTCTTCCACTGCCGCCGTTTTTGGGTGGGGTCCACCTTCCGAAGCTCTCTGAGAAGTGTTCCTTGGAAGAACGGCACAATTGAAGCGGATGGTGGTTTCCCTCGACATGATTCGTTCGCGTCGTGTACACAATCCTGGTATACAGCGGAGCGCCGTCATCAAGTGACGTAGCAGCCATGTCACGAACTCCTTGCCGTCTGCCCCCTGCCGCAGTACCTTCACCAACCGCAGGCGGGGGCGTGGGGCAAGCCTGTCATCGTCCACCGCGACGTGAAGTCCGAGAACATCCTCATGGATTCTAACCTGCGGGCAAGGCTTTCGGACGTGGGTATCGCGAGACAACTCGACGGAGCGGGCTCTGAGGCTAGCACCCGCCTCACTAGCCTCATCGGCACTTGGGGGTGAGCTGGCAAAGCGACCCATCGTAGTAGTCGCTCAGTGACATTTTTTTAGTGGATTGTGTGATAATGGGGCTAAAAAAATGAGTGATTTCGGGCGATATTGTTCCATAACCCGAAAATGGCCAGGGTCTCGAAAAAGATTATCGTAGTAGCGCTCCCTCCCTGACACGAAGCCATTGCGTCGATCTGCCGAGTCAATACCCTTCCCAGCCAGCGGAACCGCTCTCTGTGTTTTCTGAGTACCATGTGTTCCGACCACAAAACGATTAGAAACATCAGCTCCTGGCCGTGTAACGTGTTCCTATTATCAGCGCCCTGACCCTGAACCCCCGACTTGCTCGCTTTTCGTCCACTGACGGCACGTTTCGTGGGATGCATTCAACACCCAACACCGTGGCACGGTTAGATACATCGACCCCGAGTACCAGGAGACGGGCGTTCTCACTCCTGCTTCGGACGTGTACAGCCTCGGTGTTGTCTTCCTCGAGCTCCTCACGGGCCTTCCGGCGCATTCCGCTCAGCTCAGGCCGTCATGTCTAGTGGACCGGGTGAGCATGAAGACTTGGTAGGCTCTTGGGTCAGGTTGTTGAAGATTCTCTCTCCACTTGTTTGACTTGGCATGCATCTCCCGTTATGTTATCACGGTGTTATCTTTGCCCCCTCTGTTTTCATGTGCGGGCTGTTGCCGTTGAGTCAAGCATGCTCACTTAGGGTCTCACTTAGGGTCTCACTTAGGGTTAGGGCTACTGCATGGCTGACGGTCGCGTGCGATGAGTAAACAGCGCAGCAGTGTAGCAGTGTAGTAGTGTAGTATGTCGTGGTGTCGATGTCGATGTCGATGTCGATGCATGGGCGACAGTTTCACCGCTGTTTTGATGCAATCGGAATAGCGCGGTGGTGTGATGATCATGATTGTGAAGAACCAAACGAGGTCGGGTGCCAAACAAACCGAGTTATGAGCTTCAGTCAAAGCCGACAGCTTGTTCCTTTCTACGGTCGGTCCAACGTTTTTGTTTGGGGTCGTTTTTGATGGCGTTCACTTGCTCGACTTTTTATCGAAACGCTGCCGGCGTGACGCTGAGTTCGGTTGAAAACCACAAAACAAAACTGTCAGGTGAACGGTAAGCAGCTGTCAGAGTGCCTGGACTCGGCGTGCTCTTGGCCAGACACCCCTCCCGTGGTGTCCTTCGCGAAGGAGGCTTGGCAGTGCGTCAGCCGGCAAGGTGAGGGTGAGGGTGAGGGTGATGGTGATGATGATGGTGATGAAACGGTGCCGGTTGCGCTGATTAGCCACACTTTGCAGTCTTTCTGTTCACATGTAAGCTTCCACTTTGTGGTAGACGTGTTGCTCTGCCGCGCGGCAGGCTAGAAGTACCATCAAAGATCGCCCTAAGCGAGTAATGCCGGTTAGCTTGGGGTCGTTTTGGGGGGTGTTGAGGGACTCCAAGCTAACCGGCAAATGCTAGGCATAAACGGCCAATAGGAGGCGAAATGTTGATCCGGTGAGCGCGGAAAGGTGAATCCTCTCTTTACATGATGTCGTGACTGAGTGATGTTGATGTTGGCATGGACAGACAAGCAGGCCCTCGTTAATGCATGGGGTCGGCCGACGCATTGCAAGCGCAATTGTACCGTATCGGCGACAAACACACAACAAACTAATATAGGCCAATTCCTGCTGCCGTTTTTTTTTTTTTTTCGACGAGTGAGGAGTGTAGGGCAATTAGACTGTGGCTAGGATTTCGTGGACGGGTTGGGCCGTGGATGAGTCGGGTGCTCAGTTCGACCCCTGACTCTCAAATCACTCTATCGTACGTCCAATATTACCAAAAACCTTGTTCGGCAGGGGATGGTCGCCCTCGCCTGCAGCACCTTATCGAGCGCATGGAGCGTCTCGACCTCGGAGACGATGCAGGCGGCGGCGCGGGCACAGCGGCCGCAGGCAACGGTGACAGCAGCGGCGCCGGGCCCGCCGAAAGCGCACCGAATGCCTCCGTATTGGCGACACCGGCACCCAACCCTGCGTCATCCACGGCGCTCCCTCCGGGGGTGGTGGCCGGACCCGCTTTGCCTGGGTCTTCCATCGCAGCCTCCGCCGCTGCCGTCGCGGCAGCTTCGGCCGCCGCCACCGCAGCCAGGGCGGCTACCGAGGCGGCTGCGGCGGCGGCAGCGGCAGCGGTCGCGTCGGGAGCTTCGTCGCTGATGCCGCCGCAGCCGCAGCCGCAGCCGCAACAGGCGGCGCCGCCGTCGCGGCCGTCCCCCGCGGTGGCGGACGCGGTGGCCGCGGTGACGTCGTCGCCGATGGCCGCTCCGTCGCCTAGCCCGGAGGCTGGGCGGGACTGCATGATCTGCGCCTCCGCGCCGGTGCAAACGCGTTTCTTGCCTTGTCGGCACAGCCTTGCGTGTACCTCGTGCGCATCGCTGCTTAGGGCACGCGGAGACCGCTGCCCGGTGGACCGAGCCAGAATCATCGGCTTCGAGACGGGGCAGTTTCAAGTCACGTACACGGGGGACTGAGCGTTCGGTGGGATATCGAAGGCCGACAAACGGGAACTGCTTGGAGAACTGGAAGCTACAGCGGCTACGTTGTGGCTGAGGTCGGAGTTCTCCACCGGGTGCCGCTCACAACCGTAGTTAGTTGCGTGAGTTTTTAAGCTCTGTGACGAAACTGGCTCGGGCGAGCGTCGCGGTATTTTTCTGTTTCGGAGATCGGTTTGACCGGTTTTGGTGACAGCTTGGTCGTCAGCTATGTGCCGAGTGATGCGATTTCTCGGCTCTCCATGGAAGCGCAGTTGTTCACGTTGTTTCATTTGTTCCTTAGACATGGTTATCAAGGTGAAAGAGGGACTGCCTATCTGGTGGTCCAAGGGTAGAGAGTCGTCCGGTCCGTCTCGCAATGAACCCCCTCAAGGCACGTCGAGGATCTTGTTGTTGAAGGGATTTCGTGGCATGGCTAGACTTAGGGGCTATGCGTATGATTTGGGACGACGTGGCGATGATCTCCGCGGATAACTTTTGCTGCTTCGCGTGCCGGCTGACTTGGACGAGCTAGTAGAGCGAAGTGAGCGGTTCTTCATTGATTCAAAATAGTCGTGTGTTGAAACACCAAGTATTTTCAGTACCACGGGAGTGCGAGTGCGAGCGAGAACTGCTTATGGATGCTGTTGCCAGTTTTTTGGTGCTGTGCCGTGTTGTCTATTTTCTCATACCAGCAGGTCGGTTGGAAATGTTTTGCTCCACTGTTTGTTTTGTTCGATGTCCTACGTCACGGCTCAGGCACTCCTGTTACTCCTGTTACTCCTGTTCGGCCGTGACTCTAATTCGCCAACAATTGCTTCAGTTCTTGCCGTTCGTTTCACCGGGCGGGGGTCTGTCACACTGCATTATGACAATTTCCGGAATGTGTCAGTTTTTGGCGGAACCGCGGGAGTGTTGTCTCGCCATCCTCTGCATACTGCCTTCATGTGTTTTGGCCTCCTTGCCATCACAAGCCATCACAAGCCATCACAATGCCAGCGCAACACACCGTATTCTCACTCGCAACGAACGCGATACGATGTGCTACAGCATATTGTCGCTCAGCGGCATGACACTTCAGCCTTCGACACAGTTGTATGCACTTGCCTCTTGAATACACGTGCTGAATCTGATCGATACTTCGGGTGGCTCGATTCTTTGTGGTTGGAGCTCAAAGCGGGTGGCTCATGGCGGAGCGTGGATGGGTAGAAACGTGTTGAAAACGTGTTGCAAAGTATAGTATTAATCGGGGGCGTGCCAGTGCTCGTCAAACCATCACGGCATCTGGTCACGCCTTCACTCTTTGTCACTCAACGAATCTCTCTGAACCTTCACCAAATACCTCTCGCAACCAAGGAATATATGTAGAAGTTTCCTATTCTTCCGCATCTCATCACTGTAACTTTCGTACGTACGTACATAACATCTCAACCGTCATACTATGCTACGAGTACCCCCAATATATCTAATAGCCCCCCTACTCGTATGCATCGTCATGCTCCGAGAAAAACCAACTTCCTCTTTACCATCTCTCCAAAGCAAACAAGAAAATTCTCAAAACAAACAAAAACTCCTCCAACCTTCACCAGACTCTCTCTTTTCTCTTGTCCAATCTCGTCTCTCTCTC